AGGTCAAAACAGGTTAGTTTATCACTTGGAAATCCTTTACAAAAAATTGGGTGCTAAAAGAAACAGTGCCAATGGCATAACTGTTCGACTCCAGCAGCTGTGGTACTAGGGGACTTTCTCTCCCCCTTTTAAAACACGCAGAGTAATAAGAAGAATTTTATGAATTTAACTCATCTACATATTTCACCACTTGCAAATGTTAGTTTTTTCTTGTGCTATATAGATGTCCTGTTTCATAGAATCGTAGAATAGTAGAGTTGGAAGGGGCCGTGAAGGACATCGAGTCCAACCCCCTGCTGTTGCAGGACACCATGTTACACCATCCCATTCAGATGGCTCTCTAGTGTGGGAGAATCCCTCACCTCTCTAGGCAGCTGGTTCCACTATCGTATTGCTCTGAGAGTGAGGAAGCTTTTCCTGATGTCCAGCCTGAATCTGGGTTGTCGCAACTTGAATTGATTATTCCATGTCCTACACTGTGACATCAGTAAGAAGAGGTCTTGCGGTTCCTCTTTGTGACAGCCTGTGAGGTACTTATGGAGGGATAACTCAACTCAGAGCTTCCTACATTTCAACAGGAAGAGATTATCGCTACCTTTACTGAAATTAACTTTGGAGAGAAGTGTGGACACACCAACAGAGGTTAGAAATACGCACGAAGAAACATACTGTGTTTGTTCAGATTAGAGCTGGGACAAACTCAGCATCCCTGGACTTTCTCTCAGCCAATCCCCAGTTGCTCAAGCTTCCATATCAGGAGAGGCGTCAGGATGCGGAAGAGGGGTGCTGCGAGTGGGTGTACCAACGCATGTGGGAAGGGTGGAGTTTTGGATGTGGCAGCCAGCTTTCCCAGCAACCAACCTTCGGAGGTACACTGCTTGCCCAGCACGTGGGGCTCAATTCCTGGTGAGTGCCAGTAAATGCTGGATGCACATCGCATGAACTCAGAGTCAGGCCCAGTGTGAAGACTCACACTCAGGTGTGCTGAGCTCAGGGAATCCAGTGGACTCCCATCCTCAAACAGATTCTTGAGCATCCTTGTTCAAATGCCCTTTGACTCAACCTTAAAACTGAGATGAAATAAGGGAAATGGTACGAAGAACTGGATGATTTTAAGCACACAATATTATGAAGAGTCAACAGTAGGACCTCTTTGGCCAGGAGTCACTATTTTAAAGGTGCTGACCATCTGCATGTGTGAGTGGAACAATTTTGCCATTCTCAAAATCCAACTATTGAGATAGGTTACCAGTGGTTTTTATTGTAAGCTGTCCCGAGACGCTAGTGGTGGACAGGTTAGAAAAGAGTTTAATGAGTAAATAATTAATAGAGATCTTGTTGGATGCAGTTGCTTCTTTCTTTAAAAATAGCTATGTAGATTAGTCCAACATTGTACCATCTGAGACTGCAGCTTAGCTGTAGGATTCTTTCAGAAACCCTGAATAGCAGTTGCGCTAGGTGCACCAGTGTTCAGCATAAAGATTTCCTATATTTCTGTGTTTCTAGTAACCCATGTATAGGCTGTGCAGAAGAAGAGGTGGGGCTATACAGGTAGGAAATTACTTGTGTGCCTTCAGTGATCTGACTGATGCTGTTCACTCCTGCTGGAAAGGAACATGGAAGTTCTCAAAAGTGAAGGAAAAACACAGGTAGCTTTTCCTTTACAAAAAAGGACTCTGGTTTGGATGGACCATAATGTCGGGTGTTTTGTGAGTGCATATTGCAAACCTGTGAATTCAGGGGGCAACTGATACTGGTGGGGAGCTGGATAAAGAAGAGTAGCGATGTAGTTCAAGTAAAGCATCTATACAATGATAAGAGGATAGGGCAAGATCCCAGCTTATAGACATTTCAGTGGCGTCTGAGCTAGGAGTGACTGATCAGGAGGGATCCTTGGGTTGCAGACAGTTAGGTGAAAACATCAATCAAGTGTACAGCAGCTGTCAAAAATGAGAATTCTATACTCAGAATCAGCAGGGAAGGAATACAACACAAAACTGTATATGAATTTTATATACTTTTCTCTTTGTTAAAGCTCTCATCTCTAAAACTGCAGAGATGGAAGGGTTCAGAAAACAGCAAGAAAAATGGCTGACCTGCCCTATGGGAAAGGTTCTAATGTTTGGGGTTTTCTGCCTTAGAAAAAAGACAAGGAAGATGAGACATGACAGAGGTAGATAACGGAAAGTGGATAGCTGAATGTAAGGAGGTTTCTGACAGATGAAAGAAAGTACTTCTTCACACTGCACGTAGTTGAACTATGGGAATCATTACCTCAAGTTGTAGTCATGGCAGCCATCCTAGACAGCTGTATGTTGGGATTAGACAAATGAATGGAACATAAGGCTATCAGTCACTGCTTGTCCTGACGGCTGTATGTTACTTTTAGAATTAGCTCTGTAGATTTGCTAGGGAATTCAAGTAGGAGGGTGGTCCTGTCTGGTCTGTGAACTTGCAAGGCAGCAGGTTTGCCTCTGTGAGAGCAGAATGCTGAGCAAGATATGCCTTGGACCTGAAGAACTGCGTCTAAGATAAGCACGCTAACCTGTGAGATCATTTCCAACACTTTTTTCTGGCAAACAGGATAGGGAAGTAATGTGGAAAAGGCACATAAAGAAGCGAAAGGAACTTTGCAACCACATTTGAAAAGATTTCAAAACAGAATTTAGCATTTGTCTTTGAGGCTTTCCAGTTACTGCACTTCTCCTAAACAAACACAGATCTCATTTGTTAAATATCATTTTTATGTTTGCATAGATTCCAAAGAGAGCACTCACATCTGTGAATTTATGAAGGACATTTTAACACTTCTGCTTGGAGGAGTGATACAAGCTTGCTAGAATAGAATTTCAAACTTTGCCTTTAGTCTTCTGACTAGCAAATGAAATTGATTTTTTATAATGGTGTTATAATTGATAACCAAATATAGCTGAAGTTGTGTTAGAAAATCTTTTAAACATTGCAGTTAATATTTCTTGAACATTATACAGTAAAGAAGAGAAAGTAAATAAAAACCAGTTACCTAACTGCTTGTAAACATTTTCATATAATTTTCCAAATCTGGGCTGTCCAGTTTGCATATTATTAATTGGTCTTTGAGGCCAATCATAAAAAGCTTGGAAGTTGGTTGAAAAGGCAGTTAAGCATCTGGCCATGCTAGAAAAGAGTAGTTTTCTTTTCTTTTCTTTTCTTTTCTTTTCTTTTCTTTTCTTTTCTTTTCTTTTCACGTATTCTGTCTTTCCTTGCTTCACCTCTGAGATTGTCGCACATTGTGGTTGCTTATCACACTGTGTGCCCCTTAAATGTCTTTAACTTATTTACACTGGATTAAAACTGTCTAGTGAAACATTTCAGTTTGTTTTAATTAAAACACAGAAAATGTATCCTATGGTCCAGAAAGTTTATATTTGCTACTGGGAAGATGCATGAAATTTTCCCCTGCTGCATACTATTAAGCTGTTTATGAGTCAGATTTTTTTTTATAGCCTAACCCTAAATACCTGAGATTTAGTTCACACTAAAGCAAGCAGGTCAAAATCTTTGCTAATGCACGTAACATATCTGAGCATGCGATTAATAATGTGTAGTAATTCTATTTAGAGCAAACATTAAAACAATACCAAAGATTAGCTCATACTGTTCAGAAAGTGGTGACAGAACACTGTGAAAAGAAGGGAGGAATTGCTCCCCCATGAACATCCTAGCTAAAATCAGACTTTGAAGGAGGAAATGCCTGAGATGGTGGTTAAGGGAAAACATCAGAAAAAACCTCCAGGCAATTAGCTTTCCAAAGAAGGAATGCCGCACAGCTTTTAAAATATAAGTTTAATTAAGAGAATGTGTGTGCTAATTGTTTTGCTCAAATTTGGCTTGTTTTATGCACATTTGTAATTTGAGAGAACTTCTGATATTTGGAAGCATAGGAATAATAACAATAACAATAATATTGTATGTGAATTAGTATATACATGCAAACTTAATCTTAAACGTTTACACAAATAGCAAACTAAAAAAGTAAATACAGTGGTACCTTGGTTCACAAACTTAATCTGTCCCAGGACTCTGGCTGTGACCCAAATAGATCATGAGCCAAGTTAAATTTTCCCATAAGGTTCAGTGTAAATAAGGTTAATCTGTTCTGTAACTATTTTTTTTTTTAAATCAGAAAAATGTGAAGCAAAGTGACAAAGAACAACAAAGATCGCGGCCATGTCCCCACCCACCCCGAGCAGGAGCGTAGCCATCTCCCTACCCCCCCAGCATGACTGAGATCACACCCCTCATCCCTGCACGTGCCTGTCATCCCAGAGTGTTGGGGGGGGGGTGATGGGCATGATCGCTGGTGCGCTAGGAGGGCGAAGAGATGGGTGTGAACGTGGGCATGCTCGGAGGGGGAGAGACGGGCATGAACGCGCTCGGGGGGAGATGGGCGCGATCATGCTGGGGTGGAGATGGCGGAGATTGTGGTTGTGTTCCTGCAGGAAAGATGGGCGCAATCACAGGCGTGCTCATGCAGGGAAGACGGGGACAGTCTCGGCCATCTCCCCCCGGCCCCCAGCACGATCGCACCAATTTCCCCACTCAGGGTGGGGTGAAGAGATGGCTGCGATCACGGTCACCACCCAATGAGGAGTTCGCAACCTGAGTCAAATTTTTGTTCGCTACCCGATTTGGTCATGAACAGAGGCGTTCGTGAGCTGAGGTACCACTGTACTAATTTCTTCTGTTAATATTTCTTAAAATGAACATGTTAGCTACTCAGACCTCAGAGCCTGTCATTTTAGCATAAAAGAGTTATTTGTATTTGTAATTTTTTGGTATTTAACTCATTTTAAGTTTCACAGACTTACAAACTAAGTTGTAGAACTTCAGAAATCATCTATAGATGTTCTACATTTGTTCAGCTTGGTTCTCAAAGATCTTGTTAGCAGTTTGTCTGGTCATTTTATTTTTTTTAAACTCTGATTAATGAAGTCTGGAATATTCTTTTGAATTCATAGGAGAACATAATGGAGGTGATTAGGAATCAAGAATTTTTACTGTTACCAGCTGAGGAACTGCATAAGCTTCTTGCCAGTGATGATCTGAATGTCCCGGATGAAGAGACCATTTTTGATGCCTTAATGAAGTGGGTTAAATATGACATGCAAAGGAGATGCACTGACCTGAGTATGTTACTGGCTTATATCCGATTACCACTTCTTCCACCACAGGTAAATTATTTCCTTATTCTGCTTATTAAAATGCATACAGTTTCTGCTTTTTAAAAATCACACAAATCATATTTTTGCTTCCTAAAAGAGTTAGATTTCCAAAATGAATGCCTTAGTCAATGATTAAATGTCTGTATTTTGAGGGGAAACATTATTTCATGTCAAGAAAGAACACAGAGTAAACTGACTATAATTCTGTCATAGATATACTTATGGTGCAACTAGAGTAAACAAGGCTGAAGATATGCTTTCTTATATATTCTCTAGCTGGCAATATAAATTATGTACCACATAGAAGGTGTGTATAAATGTGTGTGCAGTCATTAAAAATGATATCTGGATTGCAAGTGACAGAAAGTAACAGAAAGAGTTCTAGATGATATGCAAGTCATGCTAGGAAATGGGGAAATCATGGGGATATTCTCCTGTGCAAATCTAAGAATCAGCAACGTCAGAGTAACAGCACAAACTGGGTTTGAGCCATAGTTAATCCAAGTTAGAGTACGCCACTGAAATCAATCAAACTTCAGTTCGTTATGCCTAAATCAAACCACGTTGTTTTGAGTGAGCTGCTGGAACTGTGGATCCACTCAGACTCATGTTCTGGTAGGAGAGTTGTCCTGCAGTGGTGCTCCAGGTATAATGGATGGCATCCCGAATTTTACTGTGGGATTTTAAGGAAAGCAACCAGTGTGCACATAACGGCAGCAGCGTTATTTGGGCAATTGTCTTACCACGCATCCTGGAAATGAAAAATATACAGCGGAGAGACCGGGATAATGGCACTTGCATCACTGTGTTGTCACTTCCCATTCTTGGCAGACAGAGCGGGAATGTGGCAATTCATATTAAAACCATTTCAACCTTTTGAAGAGCTGGATGAGGCCCAGGATACAGATTTACATTCACCATGGGAACTAATATTGCTAAGCATAGTTTCCAGTCGCGGTGTCAAGCATCAGTCATTGCATAATTCAGGGCCATAATGTAGCGAGAGGCTGTGGCCCGGAGCCAGCTGATTAGCCATCACTGGTAGGGATACGCACACTTACCACATAATAGCTCCAAAGCACAGGCTGAGATGACCTCTTACGTACTACAACAGACTCCCCCCTCCATGAAGCTCGCCACGAGAATGCTGACGTGCAACAGGCAATCTAGATAGCAAGTGGAAAGGACCACATGACTGCCATGAAATTGAGACAGAATCTTATAAGGCAGGATTGGGCAACTTCTGACCCTCCGGATAGTTTGGCCTGCAGTTCCTCTCTACCCTTGTTTTTGTCAAAGCTGGTTCATATTCCTCCCTTCCTAAATGGAAGAACTCCAAGCTTTCTAGTCTTGCTTCATGGACTTCCTTCAGCCCCCTGACCATGGGTCTTTTCCACACCTTTTTGCAGTTCTACCATTTTCCTTTTGAGTTGTTCAGGACTGCACTCAGCCTTCCAAGTGTGGCCATGGCATAATTTATATAAAGGCATTAGACATGGACAGTTTTCCTAATGATCCTTAGCATGAAATGTGCCTCTTCACAGATGACGCACACTGTTTTGATGTTTGCATTGAGCTGCTTGCCAAAACCCCAAACTGTTATCCTGTTCCATCACCTCCAGCACAAACCCCATCAATGTGTTTGTATTCGGGGGGTTTTACCACTTAATCACTGTACTAATTGCTAAGCTTGTTCCACAGCAAAACGCAGACATATGAGTATAAATGCACAAGCATGGGCTCAGTCTTGATCTATTTGAATTATTTCCTTAGATACTTGCTTGGCTGCTTATACAGATTCTATGCGGCCTTGACTGCTGATTTGAATTCTGTCCTTAAATGATTTCACTTGATAACACAATGGATTTTCCCATGTACATTGTCCCAAAAGGACCTAGATGCTTTTGAATTAATTTCACACTGGCATAACATTTTATAATCACTTGGCATCTGATAGTATCACTTTTTTTGAATAAGTTCTATTCTTAATAAACCTAACAGAAAAGGAACTAAAAAGTCATCAATCATCAAAAATATCAGACCTACTGGGTCAGCCCCCCACATTTTTTTTTCTTTTTATGTTAAACTATAAACATATTTAACTCAATGCATAACCCGTTTCTCTAGCCAATAGTAAAAAGAGTCCCAGGTTTGATAGAAGTCTGTATCTTCTTTCTCTTTCAGAGACAAAGTCAATCTGTCCATTTCGGCACAGTCCAATATCTTTTTTAGAATCAGTTCGTCAGTTGATAGTATCACTTTTTTCAATAGCTGTGCAACAGTGAGAAACCTTAAGCGCTACAATGGGCAACTTTCGCCCCCAGAATTCCATGTACTGTTCTTTCCCAAATATTTGTCCACTAAATACAGTTAATGTGAACATTCTGTAGCAGCCACAAATGAAAATGAGGTGAAACCACGGCAGTGAAGGTTGAAGACAAAAGCTATCATGTTTCTTGGTCTTACACATATGTACAGTTTGACCCAGATGACCATTCACTTCCCAGCCTTATCAGTGTAAACCTTGCAAACTGGAGGAGTGGAGAACAGAATTAAAGCAGAAGTCTGGAAGTTTGTTTTGTTAAGTATGTATAATCAGGTCCTTTTTCAATACAAAATGTCAGGGTAATGACAATGAATTCATAATGTATCTTCAGTACTTTTTCTTCCTTTTCTTCAGTTATTTTGGGGATACCAAGACATCAAGAAAAATGTTTTGATAAGCATTTTTCTGTCATCAACCATTTCTTGCTAGCAACATTGCAAATGTGGTATCTTTGCATATACAGTTATGCATGATCCCTAGCTCTCTCTTTTTTTGTGGACTTCCTTTTGTGGAAAGAAGACTATGTTCTTCTTTCATTCCCATAATTCTAGAAGTCTTGTAGGACCTGTGGATTCATGATTTTGCCTCCAGGAATCCATCTCTAGTAAAACAGTATCTTCCCCACTCCGTAGTTCCTGCACCACAGATAGCAAGTATCTCAGTATCCTCTGTCTATGGAATACCAAAAAGAGGAAGGGACATGTTTAAAAATTGTCATTTCTGGGTGATAGGACACTGCTATTTCACCTGAAGCACCTTTCTTAACACAGCTGCATGATACCAATTTACCTCTTCTGAAATTTATCAAAGAAGGGTTGTGAATTTTTATGGATGACAACAGTGAAGTATCTATCCAGACTTCAAGCTAAGTTTGTTCTACAGCCTCTGAAGCACTGTGTTGGAGGTCCTACATCATCCTGGATTAATTTTAGTTTTGATTCTTAATGCATTCCTACTGGAGAGGAGCACACTAAGTTCCATATCTGCCCAAAGTCATATCTTTGGCTAGCAAGTTATCTGTTTCTATGGAAGAGGCAGCAATGGAAGGGAGTGTAGATGGGCAGGAACAATTGCTTGGAAAAAGCTCCATTATTGGTCAGCTTGTCTTCTTGTGAAGCAGATTAGTGATTAAGCACTACAGCTTTCCCTTTTCTAGTCAGAAGCATTCTCTACAGGGACTTTGGAAAAGCAGAACAATAGCATTATAGTATGTGTGTATGTATGCATTAATTTATTGATTTGTTTTCATGAAATTATATACTACCCTCCAATAAGTATTTCTAGGGCAGTTATATAAAGCGCTTAAGCATAGAAAGAGAAACTGTGTTCCTAGAGATGCTAAGATTAACATGCTATGTATTTTCCTGAGATCACACCCCATAATGAACTGGCATTTCTCTTACCTCACTGTTCCTCAAATCACACAGTTTTTGCACTTTTTACCAGTGGCTGAGAAAGCCTTCTTTCAAACCACCTTCCTCATTTCCCCAAATTTCTTCTAGGTTTCTTCTCAAAAGTCTTAAAACCCAGCAGACTCGTAAGAAATAATGCGGTCCCAAGATGTGGTTGGCTTTGACTAGTTAACTGGTGGCCCATTATCTTTTCTACCAGTGCCAATAAAGAGACTGGGCACAGATTTCTGGACCAGCTGAAGTTTCTGAACAGTCACCAAAGGCAGACACCTATAGATTGTGTTGCAGTCATCTAAACAGGATCTAACTGTTTAGAAGGTTTAACAAACCTTTTTATTTTCCTGCTATTTTAATGTTTAATTTATTTTAACTGGGGTTTTAGTATATTAACTGTTGGATGGTGTGGTGTTTGTTTATTTTATGTATTGTAAGCCGTCCCAAGATGTTTGTAAGGGACAGGTTAGAAAATCTTTTAACAAAGAAACAAATAAATAAGTCATGTGTTATCATGACCAAATCTAATATCCCCAGAATAGGTATAGTTGGCAACTTGATTACCAGAGCACCATCAAAGCATCTAAGTTCAAAAGTGAATTGAGAAATAGACACAAAGTATGAACTGAGGTTTTCAAGGTGACACTTAATCCCATTCAGTGTAGACTGAGCCCGTTTCAGCCAACTCCTCAAGCCTGAATTAAACTTCAGTTTTTTTGTTCACCCTCGAACAGTTCACACCAACATCAGTCATGGATATAGAATTAAAATAGTTTCTGTGGATTTAGACAGGAAGGAGAGAGAAGGTTGGCATTGTCCTCTTACTGATGGTGCTGAAGCCGAAAATGGTGGACAAGCTGCCCCAGCAGTTTCATGTATGTGTTCAGTATTGGGGACAGAGGGGCAAGACATGAAGAAACCTGAAACACCAGGATGAATGCTGTAAAATAATGGAAAGGAGCAATTCTCCAGGTGAAATTTCTTTCTCCAGACAAGAAAAAATAAGTTTTTGTTATTAAGACTGTGCAATATTGAATGGCAACCAGTAATATCCTTGGCAGCTATATTTTGACCTTCTATTTCTGGCTTTAAATTCCCAATTGGGAGCAAAGGAGATAACTGCTAAAAGCTGTTTATATTTACAAGCCTTGGGTTGCATTTACATTGGCCCATAAGAAAGTTCTACCATCTGCCAGGCTAGAAAGGAGATCCAATAAACAGTCATTATTGCTCATTGTTGTTCTTGTGGATCAGGGGATTTAGAGACTGTAATACAT